ATCCTGTTGTTGAAAAAAGCGTCGAGGCAGATCTGAGGAGCCGTCTCTGGATACGTAGCCGGCCATGAGACGTCCAGGATGAACGCTTTGGTGTCCTCCAGGTCTCCAACCTGTTGAACGACATTAAACCAGACGGTAAAAAGCTGACATCACCAATTCTATTCAGTTTATTTCTATAGCGACGATTCACATCACGTCATCTCAGGTCACTTTCCAGTTCACCAGATCATCCAGTCAGATTGATTCAAAGTTTTCTATCTAAGGAAAACCAGCTGATTGCATCGACTCATTGACTCTTCAGCAATCCCTCACACTAAGCATGCTTGTAGCGACAGTGGAGAGGAAAAACTCCCTTTGAACAGGAAGAAACCTCCAGCAGAACCAGGCTCAGTGTGAGCGGCCATCTGCTGAGGCCCACTGGGGTTCAAGGAGACAGAAGCAGACGTAGAAAAAGAAGCATAGATACAAAAGGCAACTGTAAAAGGCGGCCTCGACCAGGAAACAGCCAGGCATACAAGCGCCAAGTCAACTCCCATGTCAGAGGATGAAGAGAGCACATCCAGTTAGTCACAGTCAGAGAAACAGGACTACACTGAAAAACAGGCCAAGCTCCAACATCTAGAAACAAAGGTGTTGATGGCAGCAGCACAGCTGATATTTCTCTCCAGGATGGAGTCACAGCCAAACAGGAACAGACCAGATGAAGCTACTATGAGAAAAAGCAGAGAGAGCAGAACGTTAGAGATTGAACTAACAGATTCTGCAGAGTGGGAGAATAGAGATAGAATGAAGCAGAATGATGAAAAAGGGGTCCCTATGTCCTCCAGCAGTCTAAGCCTATAGCAGCAGAACTATAGAGATAGCTCAGAGGAGGCAGAGGAGAAACGTTCGGTTTCTCGTCTGGTGAAATCGGGAAGAAGCCAGTTTCCTGAAATAAAAACAAATCGTCACACCTGGATTGTATCAGGATGATTTAACCGGTATTATTTAGTAGTTTTCCACTTTTCCCCGATGTATTCCAGCATCCAGCTGCAATGCACGTGGGCATTGTCAGTTTCACTATAGCTCTGGTGAATTTCAATGGTGAAGTCCTCTGGAAATCTTCAATAATTGTTGTTGATTGCAGATGTGTCTAGTAGTTCCCATTGATTTAGCTTGGAAAGCGGGGAGAATGGCGCTAGGCTTACCGCACCGTGACGTCACTGCCGGAAGATGGCAGGAGGGAGGGGCTACTATATTTGGGCAAAAATGGCCGCTCCCAGACTCAGTGATCGCAACTAAAAATATTGCTTTAATCTTTTTTTCCGATTAACAATAAATTCATTAAATCACAACAAACATATTAGTTTTAGGTATAGATAATGATCCATTGATTATTCCTTGCTGACCGGACTTTTCCTTGAAACAGAGCGAGCACGAGGAGAAATTGCTTTTGCATGCGTTTAATAGGCGTTCCCCCCAGGTTGTGCATGTGCATTTTTCTTTTTTAAAGTGGAGAGGGTGGGTCTTTTAAAAGACTCGCAAACAATCCTCCACAATACCTTTCATTAACAGAGACATTTCTGCTGGACTCTAAAGGCCAATTCATGCTTCTGACGCATAGCTTCTGCAACCGTCAAATCTGTCTCTGTGCGAGACCACGCCCCCAGCGCAGAGGTTCTGCAACCGTCGCCGCGCAACTCAAAAATATCTTGACTACGCGTTGGGCGGTCGCAAACCCGCACAGACCTCAAGCGAAAGTGCGCAGACAAAAAGCAGCTGTGAATGGTCCTTGGTACGCCTTTCCGGCTGTCTGTGTGGTCGTCCTTCTCGATTCGGTGCCGGGGCACGCCATTTTTAAAAACCGAGGAACAACTACAAACGACAACTACGGCGAAAAGTTAATCAATGAGGTTTATACGATGCCTCAGACCAATTATATAAAGATTAAAGGTCTCTGCCACAATGAAGTTCTCGTGACTTCTCGAATAGGCTCCCCCTAGTGCTTTGGCGGGAAACTGCCGTGCGTCCCTAGAAATTCCAGACCGACGGTGCAGAAGCAAACCAGCAAAACTGGTTCACGACTAAATCCAAGCAACATTTGATGTGTGCGGTTGTATAATCTGCCCTTAATAATATAAATCTGAGACATTTCTGCTGGACTCTAATATATAATATATATATAAATATATATAAATCTGTGGTAGTCTAAGCTTCTTAAGTTCTTTACATTAAATGTGTTATTACCTGACTATCCTGAACAATCATCTAATGACGGACTGAGCTGTCAGCACACAAACTGAGCGTCTGAATGAGGCAGCAGGGGTCAGAGCAGAGAACAGAGCTGCTGATGGTAGCAGTACCCACCCTGAACTGGAAGGAAACTGGGCTGATCTCCTTGAAGCAATCGTCCCCCTCATAAATGGAGCGAAGAGCTTCCAGCTCCATCTAGGAGAAAAGAAACAGAGATTGGTCGTCACTATTATCCCTGCAGCAGGAAATTATTTTTAAAAAAGTTTCAGTTTCTTTCCATTAATGCTGAATTTAACTTTATTTCAGTTAAAACCTGTTCACACGTCACTGCTTAATGAGGGGAGACAACTGATCCCTATTTATTCACTGGATTGCTGATAGCCAGGAAAAAGCGAAGCCACTGCCGCCATATTGGTACTCCCCACTCCCACGTAGACTTGCCATAAAAACGCCTCCCTGTGCAGCATTTAGCTGCTAAACCAGCAGTTTTCTGTGTGCAGGAAGACGTTCTACTGGTAATTTCCCAGTCAGTGGATGAACTAAGCAATAAATCCATCTATAGCCGATGGATCCTATAGTTTAGTCTGCAGACTAACATTAGTCTGGCTATCTCAGACTGACTGGAAGACATTGACATTGGGTCTAACGTTAGAAAATAGAAAGTAATTCAATGTGAAATGTCATTGTAGTAATTCTTTCTTTAGTGGATGATGCTGTAGTTCCTGTAGTGTTTGTTGTATTTCTCATTTGAAAAAGTCATGTGCAACAATATATTGGGAAAAAAAGCAGCTCAAACATTTGTTCCACATACAGTGCAGACCAAAAGTTTGGTCAAACCTTCTCATTTAAAGAGTTTTCTTTATTTTCATGACTATGAAGGCATCAAAACTATGAATTAACACATGTTGAATTATATATTTAACCAAAAAAGTCTGAAACAACTGAAAATATGTCTTATATTCCATTATTCCATTCCACCTGTGATTGCTGCTTCGCTCAGTCTTGGCGTTCTCTTGAGGAGCTTCCAGAGGCCGTCACCTGAAATGGTTTTCACTTCACAGGTGTCCCCTGTCAGGTTTAATAAGTGGGATTTCTTGCCTTATAAATGGGGTGTGGACCATCAGTTGTGTTGTGCAGAAGTCAGCTGATAGTCCAACTGAATAGATGGTTAGAATTTGAATTATGCCAAGAAAAAAGCAGCTAGGTAAAGAAAAACGAAAGGCCATCATTACTTTAAGAAATGAAGGTCAGTCCGTTCGAAAAATTGGCAAAACTTTAAAGTGTCCCCAGGTGAAACTGGCTGACATGAGGACCGCCCCAGGAAAGGAAGACCAAGAGTCACCTCTGCTGCGGAGGGTAAGTTCATCCGAGTCACCAGCTTCAGAAATGGCAGGTTAACACAGAGTTCTAGCAGCAAAAACATCTCTAGAACAACTGTTAAGAGGAGACTTTGTGAATCAGGCCTTCATGGTAAAATAACAGTGGAAACCGCTGCTAAGGACCAGCAACAAGCAGAAGAGATTTGCTTGGGATAAAGAACCCTAGGAACGGACATTAGACCAGTGAAAATCTGTGCTTTGGTCTGATGAGTCCAGATTTGAGATCTTTGGTTCCATCGTGTCTTTGTGCGTGATATATATGGGTTTTAAATTTTATGTTCTTGGACAAGCATACAAGTTTTGTATCACAAATAAAGCACTCTTATTACCTAAGCACACTCATTATCTAAGTTTCTGTTTCCTTGAGAGTATCAAATAATTTGTTTTTGTACTCACGAGCTCTCGGTGCCATGCTCCAACCATGATGTAATAGTGATTTTGGTTTCGGCTGTCCACGAGCCCTGGGTGGGTTCGGTGGATGCCCGTTCCATATTTTGGTTTTTGTAATCATGCACTTAAGGTGTGAGAGGGAGCGATCACTTTTCCTGATTGGGTGAAAGATTTTCCTTAGAAGTTTGGCATAAATGACGTGTAGCGGTTGGCACTGGCGGGGTCTGCTAGGGTTGCGTACGGACACCTAGCTGCGCGGGTTGCTGCCCTGCCGGGATCGACCGGCCCTCCGACCCTTGTGTCACGGTAGGGGGACAATATAAATTGTATTCAGCACCGTGCCTTGATTGATGTGCTTGCTTTGCTGTTTTCTGTGGCGGAATAAAACGCCACATTTTAATTCTAGCAGAAACAGCTTGTGTGTTCTGTGTGTGCATCTTTATTGCCGACTCATCCCGATCCTGTCTAAATTTCATAATACAGTGCGACGCAGAAAAGGTGAACGGATGGACTCTACAAGCCTGGTTCCCAGAATGAAGCATGGAGGAGGTGGTATGATGGTGCTTTGCTGGTTATACTGTTAGGGATTTATTCAACATTGAAGGAATAATGAACCAGAATGGCTACCACAGCATCTTGCAGCGGCGTGCTATTCCATCCGGTTTGCGTTTAGTTGAACCATCATTTATTTTTCAACAGGACAATGAGCCCAAACACCATTTGAGTGAGAGTGATAGGGTGCTGCATCAGATGACCTGGCCTCCACAATCGCCCGACCTGAACCCAATGGAGATGGTTTGGGTGAACTGGACCGCCGGAGGCAAAAGGGTTAACAGGTGCTGAGCATCTCTGGGAACTCATTCCAGACTGATGGAAGCTCATCAAGAGAACGCCAAGAGTGAGCGAAGCTAGAATATGAGACATATTTCCAGCTGTTTCACACCTTTTTGTTAGTATATAATTCCACAATTCATAGTTTTTATGCCTTCAGTGTGAATCTACAATAATCATAATCATGAAAATAAAGAAAACTATTTGAATGAGAAGGTGAGTCCAAACTTTTGGTCTGCACTACATTCTGCTCCATTAACACATTCATTTTACTGTGATTGATTTGTATAACATGCCATACCACATGGTTTGCAAAGTGATGTGTCCCTTTTTACCATAAATTACGGTAATCTACTGACGCTCTGAAACAGCCAGTCTGGGTCAAAGTGATGAATTTATCTTTATTTTTAAATTCTTTAGTCCCCCTGAAAATGAGAACGCCATCTTTGTTCGATGCTGTAGCGCACAGATTGTTTACATTCCGATAGGTCTAAGTAGGGAGTACCAATATGGCGGCCGGTGGCTTCACTTCAACCCAATACTACTAACAGGCAATCAGCGATCGGTGAATAATTAGAGATCAGTGGGGAGAGCCGATCGGACTGGATCCGATAAACAGAGCTTTGCTAACAGCTAACAGCCGCTAGCTGCTAACAGCTGCTAGCCGCTAACAGTTGCTAACAGCTGCTAGCCTCCAGGAGCTACGCTGCTGTTTTCTTACCTCCTGATCTTCGTTCGCTGTCATGTTTCCTCTAAGGCTCTTACGTCATACGGTCCACGCGCACAGCTTCACAGCAGAAGGGAGCCGGTTAGCGACACATTGCTGCCGTTCCACCGTACCTGATGACCGGGAGCAGCGCCGCCCGGTGCTGCCTGTCTGCTGGTCACCCGCATGACAGTGCGCGCATGCGCAGTGGAACGCACGTGTCCTCGAACTTTTACCGTTTCTGACTCTTCTGTTGTAAGAAAAACAACAAATACATTAAAAATAAAAATAAAACGTAGAAGTAGAGATGATACCTTTGTTAAATAATGTTTTTTTTATTAACTTATATTAATAAATATTAAAATGTGTGGATTTTACCCAACACAAAAATTCATGACTTTTTTTTAGACTTAATTTATTTTTCATTTTGTTTACAATTTTCAATTCAATTCAGTTTATTTAAATAGCGCCAATTCACAACACAAGACATCTAAAGGCACTTTACAGTTACAGAAACTGTTCTGGAACCTGCATTGAATGCTGGGAAGCCTCTTCACAGAGGGGGTGAGGGGTCATTGATGATGTCACGGGCTCGGGACACGCAGCGCGGGGATGAAATGTCTTTAAAGGAATAGTACACCCAAAACATGATTAGCCTTCATTTTCTACTCACCCCCATGCTGAACAACACTCTGGAGTACTTTTTTGATATCTCAAATGCATCTGGAGATCTGGGAGGCTTCTTGCTGTCTGCTGACATTCAAATAATGGAGGTCTATGGCGCCCGAGGCAGAAAGGTCCATAAAAGTCCACAAAAAACGTGTCAATATTCCTCCATACTGCTCGTCCAATGTATTCCAAGTGTCCTGAGTGGGTAGCGTCCAGAATTTACTCGAAACGAAGTCATTTAGAATGTTTTTAGAGCATAAACAGTAGTGTATAGGATTTCCTGAAAGCGCGTTCACGACGCTACGGAAGCCGGCAGACCAAACCAGATGAAAGTGCGCATTCAGCGTCTGCTCTGCCGATAATGCAAGCGTAGAAGAAGAAATGTGCTGTTTACCTGTGCAAAGAAAGAAACAACGAAAGAAAAATGTCTGAGGACTTCAGTGTTGAGGAAGAGCATGAGTTCTTTGCCGAGCTGAATGCGCACTTTCATCTGGTTTGGTCTGCCGCGGTTTCCGTAGACAGGTCCTGATCAAAAATACACACAATCCGAACAATGATGCTGTGTCTGTGCATTAGCCTTTAATTCTAACAGATTTACACCAGAGCCAAATTCATGAACCGATTTAATAACTCCACAGAGCTTCAGTTTCCACTCTAGCAAAATCGCACATACTGGTAACATAACAGGAAACATCAAGTTCATATTTAGCTTTTTGCTCGTCAGGAAGTCCTCCTGCAAACTGGATGTTTCGGACCTTCTCCCCCCTGGAAGGATCTTCTGAGAACCAAACTGAGCTGAGGATTCAAGTTTGCGGTTTGGATCAACCTTTTCCCCCAAGGATTGTCTGGGGCTTCTCTCTGAGCAGGGGATTCATCTCCACTATAACCCGTTCAAGTACCGCAGGAAATCTAAGTGGCAGTCAGCTTTTCCGTTCACCAAGGAACCACCGCAGTCTGGGTAAACCCTGTCCGCCCTCCATCAAACAAGATAATCACTGGAACATCCCACACAGACTGGATTCAAATAAAGACACCTTTTCTGGAAACGTGAGTCTGCAACCTATTCCTCCTCTTCAAGTCAAAGAATCTAATTTCCCACTGAGCCTGAACTTACCGCAGAATCTTCTTTCCAGTTCCGGTTTGACCGTGTTCAGAGCAGCACTGGACTCATCTCATTATACTAAATAAACCTGTTAAACTTTTCCCTGGTCTCTCTGTTTGGTCTTCTGCATTTGGGTCAGATCTTTAATTAAATCATGACAGAAATGTAATATTTCTTATTCCTTTGAATGTTAAACATGGTTTCTTTGGTATTTCCAATAACAGCATGTCTGGGAAAGAATATCTCATAAACTTTATTATTCTGTTGGCTATTTAGCTTTTTGCTCTTAGTTGACGGTGAAATTACCTGCAAAACATCTTCCTACAGCTGGCAAACGCTAATGCTACATGTTGGCACATTTACTGCGTGTCTGTGTGGGAGTGGGTAGTGAGTACCAGCATGGCGGACAGTGGCTTCATTTTTTTTTCGAGCAACCAGCAATTCAGTGAATAAATTACGGAAGAGGATTAGAGCCGCTTAAAAAATAAAAAAAGTTAACTGATTTTTTAATTTGATTTAAGTTTAATAAGGAAAAAAACCTCAGAATTCTGACTTTAATCTGAGAATTGTGGATCTTAACGTAGATGGGCACCATAAAGGCAATAATGTGGAGCAAAGGTGTGAGTTGTTTGGGAGAAACAGGAACACATTGCTGAAAAATGATGGAATTAGGAGACTTTTTACGTGCCTGAGGGTCCCCTGCTGATGTTATTTCTATAATGGAAGAGCAGAAGGTGATTAAAACAATAGAGCTAGTCTCCAAAACAGACATGGCTACAGCTGGATGCAAACATGTTTGTTAGCTGTCAGAATTCAGCCAGAATTCAGAGATTAAAGTTAGAATTCTGACTTTTTTCTCATATTAAACTGAAATAAAATGTTAAAATCAGTATTATTTTTCAGTGACCCTAATCCTCTTCCGTAATAAGTAGAGATCAGTGGCTAAAGCACATAAATAAAAGTATAAATAAAAATGATGCAAAAACATAATCCAACACCAGAGGGCGCCAAAGCTTCATTTTAAAGCGCGGTCAGCTCCATTCTGGCTTTGTCCCCACATTTAATACATTGGATGGAGGTTTAAATAATCAACTCATCCGTTTGCAACAAAATATAGTGGAAATTAAATGAAATTATCTAAATAAGATCAAAATAATTTTCTCCGTTTGATCAGTTGCTCTCTATAATTCAAATAACCATGCAGTGCTTTTTACATTTATCTAAACATGCAACCCTTTAGGGATTAGACCATAAATTTGAGTACCTGTTGTGACGTCAAAGGTTACTTTACTATCTTTTTTTTTCCTGGAATCTTTTTTTATCCTTTATACTAAAAGGTTCTGCTGCAGATAAGATGTTAAGGCTTGCTTTAATGCCACAAAAGTCCTGCTTTGTTCCACTATGTAAGAGGGAACATTGTTTGCAAATTACCTTCTGGTCTAATCAAGGAGATGAGATGCAGCAGATTTTTTATGTTTAATCACCATTTTAGATTCAATTCTTCACCAAAAGAAATGAAATAGAAAACATTCTAATAACTTAACACCTGTTCCTTTTTATCATGCAAAGTTTTAATGGCTCAAACATTTATATTTGATACATCTCCACTTTAAAAGAGTTTATTGACTTATTTTTCCACTTAATTTAATTAGCAGTTTCAGGCATTTACAACCAGCTGCATCTGAGGGCGTTTTAAAGGAAAAGTCACATTCAGGATTCAAACTTCTGAAAGTTCTTTAAATATGAAATTATTACTTACTTTTTTAATAAATAAGTGTTTTTAATTCAGAGTAATTTTCATGTGAATGTGGTTTACTGGAGGCATCCATGTTTGTCAAAGAACACTACTGCCACCTACTGGTTAGTGACATTGTCACGGTGCGGTATCGGCTGTTGATCAAGTCCCAGTGCTGTATCTGGTGTTTGTCACAACGCGCTATTATCCAAGTCATCTTGAAAACATTCTTCTTCCAAATGTTGGCTACATATTACGGGTTTTTTCTCTGGCCAGAAGCTCGATGGCAAATCCTCCCTCTTCAAGTTGGCGATCCAACGACCAACCCGTCCGTTTTTCTCTTTTCCCCGATGTATTCCAGCATCCAGCTGCCATGCACGTGGGCATTGTCAGTTTCACTATAGCTCTGGTGAATTTCAATGGTGAAGTCCTCTGGAAATCTTCAATAATTGTTGTTGATTGCAGATGTGTCTAGTAGTTCCCATTGATTTAGCTTGGAAAGCGGGGAGAATGGCGCTAGGCTTACCGCACCGTGACGTCACTGCTGGAAGATGGCAGGGGGGAGGGGCTACTATATTTGGGCGAAAATGGCCGCTCCCAGACTCAGTGATCATGACGAAAATTATTATTTTTCTTTTTTTACTGATTAAAGCTAAATTCATTAAATCATCGTGAACGTATTAGTTTTAGCTCTAAATAATGATCGATTGATTCTTCCTTGATGATCAGACTTTTTCCTTTAAAGAACAAATCGTCAAATAGATTCAGATTCTATCAGATCCAGTTCTAAGCAATAATATATATTTTTCTATTTTTTAAACTCCTTAAGAGAGAGAAAGCAGGCCGAGTATCATTGGGTGGGTGTGAGGATGAGAAACCATGCAGCTGTCAGGAACACACAGAATGACGGTAAAATAATTGGTATCGGCCTTAAAAAAAACTATATCAGTGGATTTCTAGTTTCCTGCTAAGACTTTTTATTTTATTTGCATTTGCAGCCTTAATGTAAAAGTTATTGGACAGGAAAAGGGAATGAGAGAGAAAGGGAAGACATGCAGCAAGAGCCCTCAGGTCAGGACTCAAACCCGTAAAGGTCTTAATGATCATGATTAACATCACAATCTAATTTGAATAGAAGGCTAAATGTAGGATCTATGATACAGCAGCACATAAAAATGATGAATAAATAACCAAATGTGTGTGTTTGATACTACTGGCCTAAGGAAGACCAATGTTGACAATTTTTTGATTTGTAGTGAGTGGGGGTTCACTAGGTCGCTCTTTATTACTATGTAGAATCAAGCAATTATTTTCAGACTTTGTGTTTTAATGCCAAGAAAAGAGAGGTTACAGGAGCACAGATGCTTTGGTATGCTTGGCTCTGAATAAATCTGGCATCCCTGAGCACCTGTGCCCTAAAAGTGTCTCTGCAAACACCTGCGGAAAGAACCACTGAGACAAACGGCCTGCACCACAGAAACAGCAGCCGGCCACCGGAACGGGCCCATAACCCCTCCTTTAGAGAAACCAGACAGCAGAGGGAACCCTGGGAAAGAAGCCCAAGCTGCTAACAAGTAGGACTGGGTAATAAATTGCATTGGCAATATAATCGCGATTTAGCAAAACCCAATTTTCAAATCGCAAAGGCACAGATTTTTATCAAACTATATTTTACAAACAACATTTCTCCCTCCAGCCCT